ATTAGGCGTGGAGCAACTTGGTCTAGTGGAAGGTGTCCCTGCTGATGGCAGGGGGGTTGGAACTAGATGAGCTTTAAGGTCCCTTCCAACGCACACCAGTCTGTGATTCTATGATCACACAGGCTTCCGCTTTGAAAACCAGACACAAATGGGATTTCAGCTGATGGAGCTAAAAACTCAGGAGTGCCACCTGACAAACGCAGATGACACACACTTCTTCCAAAAGTCAATTAAGCCTGAGCTGTAAATATCAGACGAGGAAGCCGTGAAACACAACGCAAGCTGCAAAGGGTTTGATTAAAACGCAGGAGCACAGAGGGCCGCGTGCCTGCTCTCCGCAGCACCACGCTTACGCGTTACAGGAGCCAACGCGCCGAGTTTGCTATGAAATTAGGAACCAGTACGGGTTTTTCAAGTGAGACACATGTACAAGCAAACCATAAAAAGCTCTGAAACCCCATCTGTCAAGGCACAGCATGGAGATACCAGGGAAGCACCTGTACAGAACACACAGGAAGCTGTCCTCCTCCTGCAGCTTCACGCTGAAGCCATGCAGGGAAGGGAAGAAACAGCTCTGAGGCAGCCTGGCCCTTCAGCAGCTCCCCAGAGCACTCCACACCCCCCCCACGACAGGGTGAGCTGCAGGAAGAGAAGCTGAATTCAGGTGAAGCTGGCACTGAAGAATACAAAGACTGTTCTTTTCAGGGGGGATTTTTACCTCATCACCAGCTCTGAGGGCAGAAGTGACTGGACAAAAATCCCTCTTCCATTCACATCTACTCCCACCAGAGCAGCACAGCCTCCTCCCAGTGCCTGCCTCATCTGCCGTTAAGGCCCCTGCAGCTGGTGGCACTCACAGCTTTAACTCAGACACTCCTTTACTTTTTTGAGAAGATAACTCTTGTTTGGTTAGAAAGCTGCATTTCACTCAGCAAGGCAGCGAGAGGCTCTCAGCTTCAAATTAAAAAAGGACAGATGCATTTTAAAACATCTCCGAGAAAGAAGGACCACTCCCCTCCACCCACTGCCTTCTCCATTCAGCCAAATCAAGAATCCAATCACAATCCAAAGGAAATCAATCCCATTTGAAGCTCCAGCAGCAGCACAGTCATTTAATGTTTTCTCCTCTGGCAATCCTTCAAATGGAACGAACAACTACTGACAGGAACGAAAATGCCTTGGGGAGGCGTAGAAAAATTCTCATTTATTCCCAGAGCTTCCTGAGCACTTTCAGCTCAAGGTCAGAACAGGTTTTATTAACCACCGTGAGCAGAAGAAAAGAAAGTATCACCGAGTGCAAATTAACATTAGGGGTATTTTCCAGAGTCTGGACTCTCCTGCACACCAATGCACTACCACAGATCAGAGCTGGTGGGAGCCCAGGGAGGAGGCGATTTACTTGCTGCTTCCCTCTCCTGGTGTGCTAAAAGGGAAAGAGTCTTTTGCAGCTCTTTGCCCATCTCCCTTGTCCAGGCACAGGGAAAGAAATTAAACTGGAATGCAAAACAAGGTAGACATCATCTGAAGGAATTTCTCTTAACCGGCCTGGTGGAGGTAAGGGTGGCTGCAAGCTCTAAAATCTTTTCTATAAGAACTGTTTTGGATGACAGAAAGTTATTGGCTAAATAAATAGCAATTAAAACCCAGAAGTGTCCCACAGCCTCCTATTGCCTGTGGAGATAAGACACCAAATGATCTGCTCAGTACCAGCATCACAGCTTGTAAAATAATCCCCGAGTCTCAGGTGTGGATCGATCTAACAGGAACACAACCAGCAGCTGAGAATAAAACACAGGCCCCATCTCACATCCTGCTCCCTGACCTCCCTCAGCACTGCTCACTTCTCAGTAAGTGGCTTCAAGTAAAGGAAAGGTTGTCCAAGAAAGCAGAAGAGCATAGCCCCCTGCAGTGCAGACAGCTGTCTGGGATACTACTGGAGGTGTTTAAATCAGTCCAGCTCTCCAGTCATGCTTTGCCAATGGCATCCACCTCACTCATCCAATCTTGGCATTCCCAAGACCAAATCCCGCAGGATCCATAAAGGCAGAAAGCCTCACTGCCATGTTACACAAAGTGAGCAATGCCAATAAGATAATCAAGTCACTCAGAGCCTTCAGAGACTGGAGAATCAGTCATGGAAAGGGTGGTTTCTCCATGCAAGGCAGATAGCACCAAGCAGCAACTTCA